TTGCCAGCTTATTTCTATGATATTATTATTTGCAAACAAATTTATTTATTGTAGATAAAGATATAAGCAACTACGCTGTAAGAAAAAGTAAAATTGACTTTGAAAAATAACACATGATAAATACGAACAAGTGATTGTGTTGATTGTAAGAAAATTAATTTTGTTTGATGGTTAGAAAAACACATTTAGTAATTGATATTTGATAAAAATATAAATATGCGCAAATAGAAAGAAAAAAGAAGATGCATACTTTTAAGATAAAAGAATTTGTTTTCTATCCCGATACGTTCAAACTTTCTTAATTTTATTATGTATTTACGCATTTATTTGTGTACGCAATTAAATTCAAGATCTTGGAAAGTAAAAAATATTATTTTTCGGAGATACTATTATTTTCCGTGGTTCTCAGATTTGATAGCTGTAGGATAAATGTTCTTCGTGTTAAATTTTCCATGATTCACGATAACAGTGCATCACGAGGGAGAAACACTAAAAGTACGTACTTAAAAAAAATCGAATGGATAGTTGATGATCGGGCGGATAATAAAATATTGCGTGCAAATCTCCCTTTCCGTTACCTTCAAATTCACGCGGATGTCACGACGACGGTTCTGTCGGTCGGGAGCACTTAGAAAATCGATAAGCCCTGGTTCGCTTGATCCGCTGTTGGCTGCTGCCAGGCCATATCTTGATTAAAATCAGTGCCGCCGCTCTGTGCTCTCCTTTCTTCGGCGTTCCCCCGCCGGTCCCCCTCTCCCCCCCGGCAGCACCGCCGTGCGATGAATCCGGTTAGTCTCGTTAATGTCCTAAATCACCGAGACTTCCGCCGTCCCCCGTTACTTTCTCTCTTACGGTGAAAAATTCGCGCGCGAGCCCTTGGAGCGACGGATTACCTGGAGACATCTACTATTGCTCGCTCGTGATCAAACGCGGTATCGGCTGAGAATTTATCGATCGCATTAGACGCGATTTAAGCTTTAAGCGAAAATGAAAGCGCACGTCTACTTGCTCAGTGCAAAAAGAGAACCGGTTGCATACTGAACTGGTCAGAAATGTATTTAGCCGGCTTTAATTTCATGCGTGCACAGACGTTGAATACCGGACTTGAAACCACCCGTGGTTCTTTTACGATGCTACGCAAAGAGGGAAAAGAATGCGAATTGATGATCTACGTAATTCCGATGTGGACATTGAAACTCATTGAGTGTAATTCCGAGTGGCTCGGATTTCCGCCCTGTAGATACACAAGACTGATGTCTATATGCACTCGAGATGACGAAAATGTGTGTGCTCCTCGCAGTGATGTTACAATGCGTTGCCGCCAACACAACAATCACTCTGTTCCAATCCATCACTGCGTTAAATATACATAGCGCATTATGACGCGCGTTTGCGCTTTGTTGAGCGAAAAGTGAATTAGTCCGACAGATTCTCCGTTGAGTGCGCGGCACAGAAACGGATTCATCGGACTCGATAGAGATATCAAAGATCGTCACTCATGCACTAATAAAGCTTATATTCGCGGCGGCGTTACGCGTATATTTGCAGTACACGCAATATGCTTTTGTCTCGAAAATGCCTCAGGCTAAGATATCTTTTTACATTCTCTTTCTCTCTTTTTCCCCAGCGATGGTCCCTAAGATAACCCTAGCCTAAGATCAATGTGTGTCGGGGGACTATTCGAAGGACCTATGCGCAATCCGGAAGCTGATCGCTAGAGAGATGGAGAGAGAGAGAGAGAGAGATGGTTGAGGGAGTATCGACAAGTGGGTGCTGTTTACCGTGCTCAAATGTTGACCGAACTCCCTCGACCGTTCTAGCACTATATTCTGCTTTCAGATGAACCTCGCGGGGTTCACGGTGAGCTTTCATTTGTGCGATGGAACCAGTAAAATGAGACGAGTCTTTCTGCATCAATAAAGAAATTGTTGAAATTAGTTTTATATTTTTTTTCTTTATAGGAAACATTAAGCAGATAACATATCTCAGATGTGACCAAATATCCGAGGCATATATAAGAAACAATTCATAACAATTTAAAACAAAAAATAATTGCAAATATTTCACGTATGTATGCATTCTGCTTTTTAAATGTCTTTACGCAGTACATAAAACTTTGAATACATTTCTATCTTAAATTCTGTTGCAAATGATAAATTGTAAGATAAGTATTTTCGTATTTTCATTCTTATTGTTTCGAATTTTTTTAAGTTATTATAATAGCTATTCCGTAAGTATAGGTATATGTTGAAAAATATATTAATGACTAAAAAATTTTTAAAAAGTTAACAGTTTTTATAAAGTAAAATAGGGTTGTAATTTAGACGTTTTTCACATTTTGACATTACAGATCGAAATATTAATAAAATTGGTCAACTTGTTCGTTTGAACGATTTGAATTCCCGATTTTACTGCAGGGTAGATAAAGTATACCGAATATGCTCGCGCATGAATATAATATTGTCATTTAATAGTTCATCATATTGTAGAGCTCGCTGCGCGAAACCAATATTCGGCCTGAACGTTGAGCGATAAACTCCAACACAACGCACACGATTCTTTGAGTTGTTCTGAAAACTACGCTTATGATAATAAAATAATAAAAATTCTCAAATATGTTTAAATTAAATTTAACTCGAGTTCCAGTTTTTGTTAGAGCATAAGCATTACACATTGATATAAAATTTACTATCTCTAAAAATATTTGTGATACTTTAATATTATATTACGTACCTTTTATGAGCTAAACTGATCAACTTCATGAAATAAAAAGTAGAAAAAATCGATAAACACTCGCACTAATCATATGTTGTTTCTGAAAATTAGGAAATTTACAAAAACTAGAGTTAATCAGTTCGATTTCTGAGACGCTCATATGATAGCAAAAATGTGACTAACAAATCTATTTTTAATTATTATGTTATTTAGTTATTATGTCACATTAATGACTCTATGGAAATAACGTCAAGACGTTATTATGATGCAGGACTTCCGGGGAATTCCGTGTCTTAATGAATCTTTCTTCGTCTGCGACGGTACTTTTTCGTCCCTACATTCACTGTCTCCCCGTCTTGCCGTTAAAGCAGCAGGATATTACGATGATGCGACAGTGAACGCAACGATCGCTATCTGGTGCGTTCTATGTGGGTAGTGTTGAGCCACCCCTTGCGGATTTCGTGGACACAAGCGTGTCCGTGTGAACACTCTTGTACACACAGATGTGAGCGGGCGTGTGTGCACATGCAACTGTGCGCCACCAACTAAACTACCCCCGACTGGTGCCTAAACCTGTTCCTCCCCTTTTATTATGGGCCACGACGGTTATTGGATTGTACCGTGCTATTTGTTCGCTGCCACGCTAATGGATCCATAATCACTGGGACGAATTAACGTGCTACAACGACGCTAACGGGCCGCTACTTTAAATACAGAAACACCCGCGCGCCACTTATTCCACATGAGCACAGCGTGGGTGCTTAAACGATCGCCGTTAAGGGAGTTTTCAGATCGTTTTCTGACGCTTGGGATTTTTGGCTTCGCGTGCTCACCCTTTACGCGACAGTGCAGATTAAAAATGTAACCTTCTATGGTAGCATATCATATCAAATAGTGCATTGCAGAATAAAAAAATCATTTTTATACCCTTGGCTATACATTAATCTTTCATACTGCCATTTTTGAAAGCATAATAGAGCTTTTAACTTTGTGCTTTCTCGTATATGTGTTTTATAAAAGTTTTATACACCGGTTTTTAAATAAAGATTAAAAGAGATATATTCTTAAATATATTTAAATATTTTAAATACATTTAAATATTTTACTGCACAAAATAAAATATAATTTGCAAAAGTATTTCAATCCTGGCAATTTTAAAAATTTTCAGTTTTACAAAATATTCTTAGATTCTTGGACAAAATTATGACAATAAATATCATAAGTAATATTAGGCAAATATATCTGTTTGATTCAATAATATATCTTTGATATTTCGTAAATCGTACTACAATGAACAGAATATCCTTGACACATTCGGGAATCTCTCATCTCTCTCGTACACTTATATAACAATTATATAATTTAATATTTTTCATACTCAATATGTTAAATTAAAAGTGTCGGTAGCAAAGAACGGACTTTCGATCTGCGCGAGTTTTACGATTCCCTAATTTTATTTTATCTTTTTATATCGAATTTTACTTCTATCATATTTTAAACATGCATGATTAACAACAAATTTTTCTGCTCTCTGCGTGTTTTAAATTTACTTTTTCCTGACGCACGCCAAATGATCATCATCGGGACTTTCGGGATCTCAAAGTCGGTCGTACAAACGTCTTCTGATCTTTACTGTTGTGCGGGTGAATCTTCCAATGTATATATGTATATATATATATATATTTACAACGTTCGGCTTTACGGACCTGTCGAGCAAATGAAATGAAATTCATGCAAATCGCGGAACCGCGCCGTGCCGGCTTCTCTTTGCGCTGTCGAGGCGGCATCGCATCGGTTTTGTATCGAGGCAGCGATGCGTCCAACCTACATCACGAGGGTGAAACGTACTTCCTACTCGATGTCCCAGCCCGCTGCTCGTTTGGATAAAATTCGCGAATCGGCGTATCTTAAGGGAAGCTTTAGTTACCTCTACTTAAACAATTATATCGAATAATTCGTAGGATGTATACGACAAAGGATTTATATAAAAGAATAGAAGTCAAACATATTAATTAAAATAACTTTTAGCTTATTTTTATTATTCCTAAATAAACTTTATTTGTCTCTTTGCGCGTATCATCATAATTATCTTACAATCGTGAAAAAAATATGCGTAAATTACATGTGTGTGCTAGAAGCATCTTTTTACCTTTAGAAAATAATATTAAAATTATCCAAATTGATTAATTTCAATTAAGATGTATCATACTTCTGTTACATCTGTTTTTTAATTATATAGATTTAAAAAAAACTCTTAATAACAGTAATGTTGTTTGTATTTTCAGGTTATGCTAGAAACGGACCCAACTACTATGGCAAGTTTATTGGATCTTTACAAGAATACGCACATGGTATCAAAGGTAAGGTGTACGCCGTTGACGATGCAACGATATTTATAAAAGGATTCTGTTACGACGGCACCGGACCGGATGCTTACTTCTGGGTTGGAAACAGTAGCATGCCCAATCCCGATGGTTACATCGTACCTTATCCCGAGATTGATAAAAATAGGTAATTACTGATAATAATATTTAAATTCATAATATTATGTTTTTTATATATAAATTGTTCATGCGAAGATAAGAAAAAAGAAAGAGAACTGTTGAAAAACTTACAATATTGTAAGTGGATAAAATTATTTGTATATTAGAAAAACATGCCATATAATTAGTATAATATTATATTAATTAATTAGTATATGCCATTTGAATCTGAATTTTGCACAGTTTATATGATGATTGCAAGTTATTTTGTATCTGATTGAGAATGAAAATTACAGTGTAGGATTTATACATACTAAGCGATACTTATAACGCGCGATTTTTTCAAATTTGTGCTAAAGCGGGTAAAAAGCAGTCAAGTAGAAACGTAATAAAGTGCTCGTGCAGATGAAATCCGAACGAGATTGGCGTATAATTCCCGTTTTATTAACTGCACTCGCCCGCGCACGACTCATTCGTTCGGCTTCCTTCTGTTTTCATCCCCGCCGTTGCCCCCTTGCCGCATATACGGCGCTGTGCGTTTCCCTCCACCGTGTTCGCAACAGCCTCTTTGAATTTCATTTCATCCCTTGGTTACGGACTGCCGCGCGTTCGCTATGCATTACTCTCACCACCTCCTGCCGTACCCTTCTTTTCGGCCTCCCACACCCCTGACCGCACGCATAACCCATCTTTGTCTATTCTCCCTTAGTCCTCCTGATTTGATCGTTCGCGTAAAATGCAGATTGGATATAATGCGACGAATGTTCGCGCACGCAATCAATTAGATTAGTCATTGAAACAAACAATGCAAGGTCATACATTTCGGAAAAAATTATATGAATCCAGTAGAATGTGTTATAAAAGCACGTGCAAAAATAAAATAAGTTTATTTAATTATAACGTAATATAGTTACTTCACTTGATAACGATATAAATTTTGACTACAAAAGCAGTTAAATTTCAGAAGTGGAAAAAATAGTTTTTATTATTGTCTGAATAAATTCAAAGATCTTGAACTTATAAGATTTTCAAAATAATTGCTTCAATTGTACTTTATTTTAAGTGAATTAAATTAAAAATTAAATGTTACTTATTTTCTTATTGCTTTTTTGTTTCTAACAGAGACCCACAACAGTTGACGGCGTATAACTATTCAGACATTATTCTGAAGTTACCCGGAGGAAAACGCATACGAGACATCAAATGGCTGAGCGTTTGGTGCAGAAGGTTTACGGTGAGTAAATTGCAACAATCAAATATCGATGTTACGCATGCATCAATTTTATTTTTATTTTAGACACATTGATTCCGTTAAAGCAGAATATAAAATTTAAACGTTTTTTTTTGTCCGCAAAATTTTAATTGATAAAGTACGTTCTCTATGTGTACTCATATCGAAATATTATGGATTATATTATACACAGAGAGATGCGTGCAATATATCGTGTATATGGAAACTTGCTACTACTAAATAACAAGCTGCATTCAAGGATCGTGCAAATATTGTAATATCTTTAGATTTTTGCTTAACAACAGTACGATCAATAATTTGTATAAAAATCAACGATTGATATCGGCGCTAAAGTATTTTACGTCGTTACTTTCGACGATACGAATTTTCAAAGTTTGCGCGACAGATTTTGAATAAACTTCTCTCAGAGAATTCACACACGCGAGATTAAAGACGTTCTCTATTCGACTCTATATCGCGTGACACGGCAAGTTTTACTCCAAACGCCACGATACACGGCAAATAGAGATAACTTGATTTTTGAGGAGGTCCAGGGAGGCTCTATCGGACATGTATTCGAGGTCAATGGTGCGTATGAGATGGATACGGAAGTCGGGCCTAAGGGGCTCTGCACGCATGTGTGCGCGTATACGCGTGATCGTTCGTACACATGCGAGTGGTAAGCTCTTCTTTTTTTTTGCTTCCTTCCCCTTATTTCTTCATTCGGATGCACACTGATCTAAACGCGCGTGCGATTCGACATCTCTTTATCTCTCTGGTATTGTTCACGCGCGTGTAAACACGCATAATAAACGCGGTGACAATAATAGTACATTGATAAGCGCATAAAGAATATTAAAAAATTGATGGAAATTGATATTTATTTTAATTTTTAAGAATTTGGAACAATGACACTTTACATTATGTAATTCTCTTGTACATATATTTTTTTAGCTGTGCAACATTTTTTTCGACACTTATCTTTTTTTTTTTTTACTTTACATTTTACTTACAAGAAACTCACAATCAATACTCTATTTTGCTTTTACGTTTTGCACGGTGTACGCTTATTTTTGAAGTAATCCAGCTTAGCTCTTCCGTTTCTTCTTATCAAGAAATATACAAATTAAAACGTAGATATATCCTCTTAAACGGGTTCCACCCTCTTGCTTGAGCCGATGCTTGAAAATTTCAGTGTAAACGTGAGCCTGTGTTTAGCTGTCAGACTACCCTCCTTTAGAGGTTTTTCTTTTTCCTTCTACCGGGCACACATGTATGAATATAATGGCACACAAGCGCGATATCGTTGCCTACAGGAGGGGGGGAAAAGGTTTGCAGCGAGAGCATATCGACGATAGAGAGCAGAGCTTTTGCTCTTATATTAGGAGGGCTTTAATATCGAAGTTTGAGGGGTGCTCCCGCACCGTGACAACCCTCCATCAGACACGCTCTGTCACCGCAAAACGCGCTGTCCGTCGCCTACGGTCCATTCTACCGGGTGTCCCATTACGATCGCCGCGAGTCATCGTCCGAAGTTTGGCATAAATCGCTCCCGTTTACGACCGCCCCACCGATCGACACTCGTAAGCCGCTGGTTGCGCCCGAGGGTTGGATTTTACGGTGGCAGGTTTCCTATTTCTATATCGTCTCGTAAAAAGTATGGAAGGTACTTCAAGTAAAAGAAACGAGCGTTCTTGTTACAATAAAACAAAATTGCCTACATTGATTGACGGGATTGATGAGGCGAAAGGTACAACTAATTCAAATATTATTCTTTTGTAATTTAAACAATCATTTGTTTAGGTTTGAAGGTTAATTACTGGATAATTAGTAATAATTGTCATCAATAAATTGATCAAGTTAACGTTTGTATGATTAATAGATGCTTAAAAGTTTATATTTTTGGCGAAAATCTTATGACATTAAAATATTTCTAAGATTACACGCGGTTTCATGCGCATGACTTTGCTATTTATCGAAAAAATAATTTTTCATAAAACTAGCACATGTAGGTTTCACTTTTATATTTCGTAAGCAAGAAATATCTGTCAGTCAGCATGATCTCGTGTTACCTCTGGAGAGGGGATGTATTGTCAGAGTAAGCCCTCTTCTCGCTCCTTTCTTCCATCTCTTTCTCCTGATTCTTTCCCCCCTGATTCTCAGGATTTCTTTTTTCGCGAAATTTCCCGTCCCTTCGATATCGTACCTTTCTTCCTTCAAATCTGTAGGGCTTCCTTTCAAAGGAACGGGGATATCTCTTGGGCGGTATCAAACCACCGTTCAATAGACTGATCCAAGTAGGATTCAGTACTTTTTTTTTTCGTTTGTGTTTTCCGCTGTTCGAAGCGGTCAGTCATGCGACTTTTATGTGTGTGTATCGCGCGCGGAGACGATGAGGGAGGGTGAAAATAACCCATCATCCTGTTGCAATCTTATCTAGTAGCAGCGTTCGTCTTTCGCGAGGGAATTCGAACCGTTAAAGCCAGTGATAGGCTTGTCGTCTTCTTCGTTTTCCGCCGTCTTTCGGTATTTTACTCTTTCTCGATGACTCTTATTCGCGATTAATCGCGTTTTGACGTTTCGCGTTGTAAATACGTGCGTAGAATGCCGTCGAACGAATCAGAGGTTCAGACCGAATTCCACTTCTTTCGCTTATAAATGCCACTTAATGGAAAAAAATATTGAATATCCGGGTATATAATAACTTAAGATTTAATGCATTGCACGGCAGGAATGTAAATTAAATGACATGGGATATATCGTCTTTAATTTCCGGGCTCGTTTTATATTTTGCACACAATTACGAACCGATGATATCTGAAAAGCTGTATTAAGTTTGATTATACAAAATTAAAGATATATTTTGAAATTATTCTTATTGAAACTATATTTTTCATGAAAGTATACATATTTCTGTGATGCATTAATATATTATAGTATAGTTTTTTGAAGTATTTCATATTATCAATAATGCATGAAATTAATTCATATCTTCTTTAAAATGAAATGTGAATAAGTATGTACAATTATACATCCATAAAATATGTAATTTTTAAAATCCTAATAATTAAATTCTTTATTGTATAAAAGTAAGATTTTAGATAGTAAATTTTAATAGTATTATATTTAAACTCTACATGTCTAGTTTTTCATATATGAATTTTCCATATACAGCAAAATGCAAAAAAAAAAAAAAATAATAATAGCCAGTTTAGTGCGAGATTAAACGCGTACAGTCGCGTTCACATCGGTTTTACAGCTATCATCGGCCGATCATTTACAGCATTTTTTACTTTCTGGCTGACCTATGCGCGATGTGAACTACTACGCTATTCATGATTACGCGATCGCGTTTGTCGTCTCTCGCAGCATGACCCATTCGCGCATCGGATTAAACCAGTGGCAAATCGTGTAAAAGTAGATATCGAGTTATGCTATCTACCGATCGTGCATTGTGTGCGCGTTCATTGTTCATATTACATCACCAGGCTGTGATAATTTGAAATCACTTATAAATTTCTCGATTAGCCTCGTTGTAATTACAATTTCGGCGATTATGATAATATTAGCAATTTAATATTAGTAGAAACGCGAGACTTTCGCATACCTTGGCAATAATTCGCTTTCTCCTATTTTTTTCTCATCGAATTCTTCTGATTGTCTTTTGACAAATAAAGCTACTTTTTGAGAGAGACGAGAGGCTTCAAAGAGAGGAATCTTTTTTTTTCATTTGCTACGTGCTTTTTATCAGTAAATTTTTTTTCCAAATGCTAAAATGGCAATATTTCTGGATGAAATTTAGGTTGGCGGTCGTGTCACGAGTAACACGAATAGTTCCAGCTGGAAAAAGAAATGATTGTTCCGTATTCGTGTCATAGAGTATTTGCATGTGAATTCTCCAGTCTCTTTCCTTGCACCCTGGAGTTAATTAAACGCCTCATAGTTTTCGGGGTGGGATGACGAAGTACGATTGCTTCTGGCACCAAGTGGACGATTCAACTCTCTCCGGGAGCATCAAATTAATAACCGCTTAGAATGGATTCCTAGAGACCCACAAGAGTGCACGAGTGGAGAATAACGTGTCCTCGCTAAGCATAAGATTATCCTGTGTCGATATTTTGGAGAGACTATATGAACATTTTAAATGAATTTGCTCAAGGGAATATGCTTTAACTATATTCTGTGATTATATTTTTCTGAAAGTTCTGAAGATGCTGGAATAATTATTTTAACTGTAATTATTGCAATTTTAGTGAATATATGAGGGGATGAAAACCATAGTGGTGTAAGTTAATTTTGAAAAAAAAACTTGACTTAAACTACTACGGCTTTCACTCTCTCATATGTTGTTGTAATATTTTATCATTTATTATTACTTTGTTACTATATTTATAATTTAATTTAATTCTACATTGATTTGACGAAATTGACTTGAAATAATCGATTGAGCCGAGAAAAAAGAATGATAATAAAAGACGTGTCGTGAATGTTTCGCTGCACTTGCGCAATTTATTTTCCATAAGATGTATTATTAATTGACATTAATACATCACATTGTTTTATCGTCCTTTTCTCATCGCACATCGGAATAAATGCCTACAAATATCCCATGACAAAATAATTTCCGGTTAAAACTCTGTAACCCGTCAGTTGTTACAACGAAATAATAAAGTTTAGTGACATGTGGGTGATTTTGCGATGCCCCGTCAACAATGTGAAACATAAAAGCGACATTGATAAGTTCATGGCGGCGTGCGTAAAAGCTTTGAAACGTTTTTTCTCTATATTGACATCATTCATTGTATTGGCGCCGCGAAAGCTTTTCAAGCACGTCGTATAACTTCGAAAACCGTTCCCTGCCGTTAGATCTCAGTCTTTCGCCGAAGTCAATGCTAATAATCGATTTCATATCAGACATAGAGTTTCTGCGATGTTTTCTCGCAGAGTATTCGCAGCGGGATCTTACGAGAAATTTTTACTTCAGACGTATAACTTTTGAAATT